GCTAGAATTCAAATTAAACAGTCTCCTGGGATTCTTTGACCTTCCATGTGTGCCAGTTACACACTAAAAACAAACACCAATAAAGGGATGGAAAAGTCACTCCACACAGTGCTAAAAAGTGAGACTGGTTCTCCTTTAACTTTTCTGGTCCAATAGTCCTTCCAGGTTAATTCCACCTTGACCAGAGCACCATGTTGTTGTGGGCAATATGATCAGGAAAAGTGAAAACAAAAAGATAAACACTTCCTCCACATCCAACCTTTGTTTCTATACAAACAAAACGTAACTACAGTGTTTTCACTCTCTCCAGTACAGGATCTTTTCGAGTTCCAAGAAAGTCAGGTGAGTTAATGTCTCATAACTGCTGCTCAGTTAAATTAGTTTCTATATAGCCTGTGAGCTAAGAATGGATTCTAGATTTTTAAATGATTAGTAAAAATTCCAGGGGCTGGGCAGATGGCTCAGTGCACCTAAATATACATACATACACATAAGCACACACACTACATACATATATACATAAGAAAAATACAAACAAAAAACTGATCAAAAAAGAAAAATCCAAAAAGAATATTCTGTACATGTAAAAGTTATGTGAAATTCTAATTTCAGTAGACACAAAGTTTTCTTGGCATCCAGTCACATTCACTGGCTTACTTTGTCTATAGTGATCTTCATGCCACAAAGGGCTCCATAGTAGAGGCCTTTGATGCTTGCTACTTGGGTTTTTTATAGAAAAAGTTTCCAATTTAGGAGTTCAGCTATATCATGTCTATTTGACTCATTCTAGTAATAAACTCAGGATTATTTGATTATAAAACACAAACGTGAACTATGACTAGGAAAATGTTCAAAGAGAAAAATTGTTCTGGCAGAATTTGGATTTTTCGATGTATAAAGATGATTCTGATGATACTTCCTTGTGTGTATATACAGCTGACATTCGCTTTTCATACCCAGGAGTAACAATCTCAGAGTTGGACCACCACAACTGGATGCTAGAAAGGAAAATATAAAATCTACAGAGCCAAGTTGGGCATAGTGGTACACACCTTGGATCCCAGTACTTGGGAGGCAGAGGCGGGTGTATCTCTGTGAGTTTGAGGCCAGCCTGGTCTCAAACAGTCCCAGGCCAGCTGGGGCTACAGGAGACCCTGTCTCAAAAAGACAAAAAAAAAAAAGGGTTATTGAAGCCAGATTTGTGGGCAAACGCCTATAATCCTAGCAAGTGGGAGGTAGAGACAGTAGGAACTTAAATTTGAAGCCAACCACACAGCAAAGTCAAGGCCAGCCTGGGCTACATAGCAAGATACTGTCTCAGAAAAAGTGTTCTTTAGTATTTATTACTTTTGTTTTATGTATGAGTGTATTGGCTGCATGTATGTAAGTGCACTTGTTCATGCAATGCCCACAGAGGTCAGAAATGGGCATAGGATTCCTCTGGAAGTGGAGTTAGGGACGGTTGTTAGCCTCCATATGGGTGCTGGGAACTGAACCCAGGTCCTCTTCAAGAATAGTCAGTGCTCTTAACTGCTGAGTCATTTCTCCAGCCCCCAGTCAAGTGTTTTGGTGCACACCTTTAATCCGAGCACTCAGGAAGCAGAGGCAGAGGCAGAAGCAGGTTGATCTCTGTGAGTTCAAGGCTAGCTTGGTCTACATAGCAAGTTTCAGGCCAGCCAGGGTTACATAGTGAGACCCTATTTCAGAAGACCAACACCAAACCCCAAATGAAGAATTAAAAAAAAAAAAATGTATTGTGGGGCGTGGTGGCGCACGTCTTTAATCCCAGCACTTGGGAGGCAGAGGCAGGTGGATCTTTGTGAGTTCGAGGCCAGCCTGGTCTACATAGTGAGATCCAGGACAGCTGGGGCTACAGGGAGACCCTATCTCAAAAAGACAAAAAAAAAAAAAAAAAAAGAAGTATTGGATGTGAATCTGGGAATCAAGGCATTGGAAAGGTCAGCACAGAGCATTCTCATACTGTGAAAATTAAATTTATCATCTTGATGCACTACTTTTAAAAATGTATCTAGTTTCAAATCAACTTCCCCTAAGCACAGTCTTTAAAAAAAAAGAATTAAAGCTTTATACCAAATAAATAAGAATGTTAGAGACCCGGATTATCTACTGGTCTATCTGTGAAGGACACAAACTCAGGGTCTTGTACATGCTAAGCACATGCTCTACCACTGAGCTATACATGCTCTGACATACACTTACTTTTAAGACTTGCAAATCAAACCAGCTCTCTGTTACTGTGAGTCCCCCTTTAGAGCTATGACCAACCCTGGATCAAAAATATTTTTTCTTCAGAAGCTGCAAAAAGTAAAACCTGAATTTGTTGCCTTCTCAATACAATGAATCCATGAGAATAAAGCAATGTGTAGGCATATTCTGATGTAACCTCCCACCCTTGACAGACCTGTGGTCTCTCTGGTATTTGTTTAGTGCTGTGCCTTCATCTCATCCATGTACGGTAGTTTAGGCTGCCATGGCTGCATCAGACTGAACATGTATCAACATGTTTCCTTATTACTCTCTAAGCAATATAACATCTATTTACATGGCATTTACATTGTAAAATGTATTGGAAGCATTATATTCTTAGATATAAGCAATCTAGAGAACAGTTAAAAGTATATAGGAGGACCTGCATGGGTGTGCTGGATAGCTTTAGTGTCAACTTGACATACCTGGATTGAGGGAGCCTCAACTGGGGAATTTCCCCCATTGGACTGGCCTGTGGCAATGTCTGTGGGGCATCTTCTTGATTGTTGAGTGATGTGGGAGGATCCAGCCCACTGTGGGTGGTGCCACCCCTGGGCAGGTGGGCCTGTGTTGCATAATAAAGCAGGTTGGGCATGGACCAGGGAGCAAGCCAGTAAGCAGTCTTCCTCCATGGCCTGTGCTCCAGCTCCTGCTTCCAGGTTCCTGCCCTGAGTTCCTACCTTGGGCTCCCTGATGAACTGTGACCCGGGAGCTGTAAGATAAAATAAATCCTTTCCTCCCCAAGTTGGTACTGGTCAGAGTATTTTGTCACAGCAATTGAGAAACAAACTGGAATGATGGGTTATACATAAATATGGTATTTTATATAAGGGACTTGAGCACCTGAGGATTTTGGTATTCCTGCACGATCTGGGAACTAACCCTCCACAGATACAGATGAACAGTTTTATATTGACATGTACTAGTATAATTCAGACAAAAGGGGCATCAAAGCATTGTAAGGGTCTGCTTAGGAAAAATTCATGCTCTACCACAGAAATGAAGCACTCACCTCTTTTTCTTCCCTGCTAATCATCAGTCCACTGTCTTTCCAAAGGTCAGGATGATTCTCGTTTCATTTGAGACTGGCTCACCACTGCATTCCTCTTTGGTGTCTTCCCTTGCCAGGTGATGCCCAAATATGCACAAATAGATGTTCTCAGTCCGCCTACTTCTCCTTTTTAGGTCATTTCAGAATGGTTGCATGCTCCCTAACAGCACAGCCCACTCCTATTATGGCATTTATTAGTAACCAATCATAGGAAAATTTTTGGTCAAATGTGCAAAATGACACAAAAAGCACAAAGCAAAGATCCTTGAGTATGAAGGAAGAGTAAGTTATGATATTATACCACAGGACAAGTCTTCAAAATGACGTTTCCTTACAAAAGGGCCTTATTGGTCATTAAAGCATCATACTGTACAGTCTCAGAATTGTCCATTTACAAGATAATGCAATTTATATCAGGTAGAGATTTCCTTTTGATCTTTAAGTTTTACTTTCCTCATCTTTCTTAGCATTCTTAAAGCATGCATTTTCTGAGCAAACTGTCAAAGCCAGAAGCCTATTATTGTTGTATTTCCCCATGCTAAATAGTCCCTAAAATGTATGTAAACCAAAGAAACACATCTACTTGCCTGCAGTTTGAAGAGGAAAGCAGGGAGCATGCCCTCTGCTCACTGCCCCGCCCAGCTGACAGACAGATGAGGGTTGTTAGGACATACAAGGAGAGCATACCAAGAACAGGGGCAGGATGGGGTGGCTACCCTGTTTGACTTGTGAATTAAACACTTAGCTTCAAATGGTAACACTGAGGGAAAATAAATATAAATATATAAAGCCATCACGCTTTACCTCTAGACAAATTACTTCCCTGTTTCTTACAAACACAATCTATAAGATTTATTCATTTAAAACAATATTTTAGTCAAAACAGAAAAGAAATTTGGAAGCAAGAAATAACTGTCACTGAAAACTGCAACTGAGATAAATTTATCTGATACATGGGAAATTCTCAGAAAATTTGAAAAATAAAGGATGGCTAGATGGCTCAGTGGGTAAAGACAGATGACCCGAGTTCTATCCCAAGTGCCTACATGGTAAAAAGAGAGAACATATACACAAAATAAAGAAAATGTAATAAAAAATTAAAAACAGTAAAAATGGGATGTCCCAGATTTTTGCTTAATTTTCTTTTGCTCAAATTTAGAATGAAAATGGAAGACAGGGAAATAAGCAAGTAAACTCAAGCTTAGAGCTGAGCTGCTTCTATCTGCTCACGAAGTGTGATCTTGTGAGAAAATATCCTCAGACAACCACAGGGAAAAAATATCGTTAAAGGAGAAAAATAAACATGTGCCATAGCAGAAACCACATCAGTTAGGTATATTTAGAGAAAATTGGTCTTTTTTAAGAATAGATTTCCCAGGGCTGGAGCAATGGCTCAGCAGTTAAGAACACTGGTTGGTCTTGCAGAAGACCCGGGTTCGAATCCTAGCACCCACATGGCAGCTAACAACTGTCTGTAACTGCAGTTCCAGCAGGTCTGACAGTCTCTTCTGTCCTCCGCAGGCATTTCACGACATGGGTGCACTTACCTACATGCAGGCAATACATGCATACACATAAAATAAAAATAATAAATAAAATATTAAAAAGATTTCATTCCTAATAAGTATTAACTTTTTGTAAAAACAAACAATTTTTACTTTGCAAAACAAAAAACTCAAGATCACAGTACATAGCAGTTATTTATTTAAATACTTGAAAAGATCATGATGAAAAAAATAGGTTTATTGTGAGAGTTTATATTCATTAGATTTATTTTACCATTTAAAAAAGTCCTGCTTTTAGGTTATCTTGGCCAGATATAGAACACTTCATGACACATGCAGCTACTGCAATACACTACAACAGACACAGCTATTATAGAACGATTTACTCTTTGGGTGGAAATTCATCAGTAGTAAGGGTGACTTGTTTATTTAAACTAAAAACATTGATAATTACAAATTGTTTTTCTCATTTGATCGAAAGGGCTATAAAAGTCCATATATTGACAAAGGAAGTAATGTAATCACACAGGTAACACCTCTGCTGATTGCTTTGACTTTAACCTCCTCAGCTGCACACTCAGCTATATGATTTCCTAGACTACACAATGGCTTCAACACTGGCCTACCATAAGTGACTGAACCAGAGTGGTACTGGTAAGTGATGCTGGCATGTGTGCAATCTGAAAAACAGAAATGGCTATTGAAGCCAAAGGATCATTCTGAGTCAATGTGAAATAAATAAGTGTTCCATGAGCAATATAATCTCTGGGCTGACTGAAACCTAGCAGAGTGAGCCAAGTGAGCACTAGTAATACTATGCAGTAATGTCTGGGAACATCATTTCTAGAACTCTGTGTGGGAGGCCCTATCTTGCCTGGATATGTACATTATTTACAAAATATTCCCTTTTGGCTTCTGAAACTTAGCCACTTTAGTTTGGCTATTAAGGTGTTTTCTTTCCATAGTCAAGCCAATACTGTAGTTATAACTATCATTAAAATACTCTTATGCATGAATTACAAATATTAATAAAGTAACTGCATGTATAAATACCTCAATATTTCTAGCAGAATTTAAAGCATTCAGAATGTACATAAAAGTATTTGTTTTTGGTAGACCAGTATTTTTTTTTTTAAATCATCGCTGTTTCAATAACACTCTGTACATAGCAAAGCCCAAAACTGCAAAAACAGTAGCACCAAAACTTGCTCGAAGCCAGAACGTGGAGCTCTTGAGGTCAGCTTGTGTCACGTGCCTGTAGTCAGAAAATACAATTAATATTTAAAACATGATTAGTAGGAAAACCTTATACCAATCATATGACAGTCTACTTTGAGGGAAGTATTAGCACACTGGTCAGGCTAATTGCATACAGCAATGCTTACCAAGGACATTTATCAATATACCCATATACACATTGCTTAGATGACTATTATCTTAAGAAAACGACATCATAAAGACATTAGTAAAGACAATGTCTTTGCAATTAGCTATTACTTGGAAGTTGATATATACAATTTTATACATTTCTGTCACAAGGGAAATGAAGTTAAGTGAATCAGCCCAGTACTTCTTAACACTACCACAGTCCTTTAGAATGAGAATCAGGCTGGAGTCTCACAATTTTGAGGGTCAGATTCACAGATGTAAACAGACACAATCTTCTGTCCCCAGGAATCAAAAGTGTAAGTAGTAATCAACAAGTGACAATACCTTAAGAGCAATGATTAAAGTTAATTGTGAAAAACTTGAGCCTTATCAAATTTATCCCCTCTAAAAGCATTCCAAAGGGAAAGGATTTATCAGTTTGCATTAATTTGGTTACTGCTAATTAAAGAGGAAAAAAAAAAAACCCTAAAACTAAAACCAAAAACCCTGATATTAGTTAGGCAGGCAGTGATAATGGCACCAAATAAAGAACGTAATGTAGTATGAGGCTGAAAGGAAATGACATAAAGGAAGCTATTGTATACATGACAAGAACAGGGACAGCCTGTACCACGAACTGAGTTTGTGAGCATGCTCAGTTAATAACATTGCTAAGCACCCTCAAGAGTCTCAAGTATGACAGCTTACCATAAAGAGGATAAAGCTTAAAGCAAAGGTTGGAACATCTTATTCAAGTGTCAGTGAAGAGAATTAGGCTGGGTTCTTAGTTAAGTGAATAACTGAGGTGATATAAAAAAACTTCCAGAATTAAGAGCTTAGTGAGACAGTCTTGGTTATTTGATAATTAAGCAGATTTGAAACAAAAGTCAGATATCATTAAAAGGCCAAGGCACTGTCATATGCAAATGAGTTAAAAGCCAGGAGTTCAAAATGTACAAAACTACTTGCCTCAGTAATAGTCACAGACTGACTGGATTAGTCCTCACAAAATGCAATTGGTATATCCTAGAAACAAGTCTGCAGTATAAGCCAGTGCTCCATGCGTCTCACCACAGCCAAATACCACACAGCACTCCAATGTCTCATCCTCACCATTTTCTATTAAACTCACATAATTATGCTTTACCAAGCAAAGTGATAACATGGGTTCATTCTACCTTGCAAGTTAGTTTTTCCAACAGGCAATGTTTTATTTATTTATTTTTTGAAGGTTAGAGAAGAGAATATTTAGGTTTCAGCTTTTTCTAGTCAGAAAGATTCCAAGGCCAACCCTTTGGTTGGGTGAAATGTTACCTGTCTTCAAGAAAAAGTGGACCATGAGATGACTCCATGAAGATGGAATCTTCTACGGAGCTGACGGCGTGCACCTGGTGAGTAATACTGCCTTCGTCGTCTGCTAACAGCATGGCACCCCACTCAGCTACCCGGGCTTTTAACCTTGCACATACATGCACACAGTTGGCAGTTCACAGCAGAGCTCACAAACGAATGGGACTCAAAATAACATCTCAATGAAATATCCCACATGTATACAGAATTGCAATTCTATAAGACTGTCTCTTATGCTTCCTATATTAAAAAATACATATGTATTACACAGAAAATAGCTAAGCTCAAAAAATGATCTCTATGTACTCTTAAATATTCACACACTGGACAGGGACACCTAAAGTTGTCAAATGCATCCCCTACATAACCCTTTGTGGTTGGCTGTCCATCTGAGAAACAGAAAAACCCATTCACACTGCCAAAAACATTGCCTGATAGCACACAACATAACTAGTAGTGATTCAAATTAGGCTACTAGTCACCAGTCATGAAGTTTATAAATGCTTATAATTTTAGACTACTGAAACCTAAAAATACAAATCCATAAAAAATTGACTCCAACATCCCAAACTAGTAGATCACCAAGGATCTGTGCTGAGATTAACAGAGTTTACATATCCAATAGAGATAAAGAGAATTTAAAGTGACAGCATAGGCTGAAAGTGCATTAGGGTTTTTGGTTCAACTTTGGCTTGTTTTGCTTTTCCTTTTTGAGACAGGTCTTACTATGTAGCCCTGGCTGGCCTGACCTGGAACTCACGATGTAGACCTGGCTAGCCTCAAATTCATAAGATCCACCTGCCTCTGCTTCCTAAGTGATGGGATTAAAGATGTGTACCACCATACAAAGCTTGTTTGCTTGCTTCCCTTCTTTCTAGTGGTATTGGAGACTGAATCCACTGATGACTGAATCCAGAGCCTTATACATTCTATCACTACATCCTAGCCCTGTTTTTTTCTTTTATTTGGAGGGGCGAGATTCAAGCTTTGTTTTGGGCTGTGATTGTGCTTCCTCTGCCTCCCGAGTGTTAGAATTACAGACATGAGCCCTTAAGCCCACCAGCTTGCTTTTGTTATTTTTTTTTTAGAGTTTTCACATTTATTCTTTAATTTACAGTGGGAAAGGGATTAGCATTAAAGTTAGCTATAATCACATTATCATCAGCCAAAACTGTTTCTCATGAGCAGTCCTTAAATATGGGTATTAGCTTCATACAGCTCTAATTTGTAAAAAATATACTATATTTCTTTCTTTATGTATTTGTGTATGTGATGGTACATATGTGGAGGTCATAGGTCAGCTTGTAGGAGTCAGTTCTCTCCTGCCATGTTGGTCCAAGGGATTGAACTCAGGTGGTCAGGCATGGGGCAGGAGCCTTTTCTGGCTGAGCCACCTTGCCAGCATACCCTCCCCTTTTTTCTTTTACTTTTTTCGAGACAGGGTCTCACTGTGTAGCCCTAGCTGGCCTGGAACTGGCTATAAAGACTAGGCTGGTCTTGAACTTACAGCCATTTCCCTGCTTCTGCTTCCCAAGTGCTGAGATTAAAGGTGTACACCACCATGTGGGTTTCCCGAGTTCTGGGATTTCAGGCATGTGCCACCACACCCAGCTTCCTCTATGTTTTTTTTGAGTCAGGGTCTCCCTGTAGCCCCAGCTGTCCTGGAACTCACTATGTAGACCAGGCTGGCCTTGAACTCACAGAGATCCGCCTGCCTCTGCCTCCTGAGCGCTGGGATTAAAGGTGTGCACCACAATGCCCGGCCCATTTTTTTAAATTTAACATTTCATTTATTATTTTCATTTTACATGTATGAGTGTATTGCCTGCACGTAGGTAAGTACACCCATGTCATGCAATGCCTGAAGATGACAGAAGAGGCTGTTGGATCCCCTGGGACTGGAGCTACAGACAGTTGTTAGCTGCTACATGGGTGCTGGGATTCAAACCCAGGCCTTCTGCAAGAATAACCAGTGTTCTTAACCGCTAAGCCATCTCTCCAGCCCAAGCATTACCATTTGTAAAATATATCATGATTGAGTTCATTACTTAGTTTTCTTCTGCATTTCAAAATGGCAATTATTATTTTCCCCAAGCTACAGTACAGCCTTCAATAGGCACAAATTTAGGTACTTTCTAAAGATATAGATAGCTTATAATTTGAGGCAACTACTAACTTCTAAAATATATTCCAATAGCTCTATCAAGGACATGGGAGTTATTAATATACTTTTAGACATGGAAAGCTACTTAGAGAATTTATGCCTTTAACATAAGCATTTTAAAGCTGTATTACTGGGTTCTATTTATAAATGAGAAAGCAATTTATAACAGATGGCACCTTTGTCATAGCTTGGATAACCAACATCACCCAATAGATAATAGTGTGATTTAAAATGTATTCCATAAATACAAAAAACTGACTTATGCTTGTCATTTCTGGTCTCAGACTGGATAGCAGTTTTATAAAACTGCTTCCTAATTTGTCTCTAAAATCAAGCAGAAAAAAATTTGCCACATTCCAAAGCATTTTGAAATCACTCACATATCTTAGAATAAATTATAATATCTTACAGCATAGCCTGTTTTTAAACTTTATTTTCTTTTTGACGAAAAAAGGTAATGCATACTCATTAGAAACTATATGGAAAATGAAGGAAATTAAGAAGAAAAGGAATTCCTAAGTTCAGTCATCTAAAGCAACTAATTAAAATTTGCAGTACTTCCTTTAAGACTTTTTTTTTTTTTTTTGGTCTTTTTGAGACAGCGTCTCCCTATAGCCCCAGCTGTCCTGGAACTTACTATGTGGACCAGGCTAGCCTTGAACTCAGAGATTCGCCTGCCTCAGCCTCCCTGGTGCTGGGATTAAAGGCGTGCACCACCATGCCTGTCTCGCTTTTAGACATTTTTAAAAATACTTTTTACATAGCTTCAAACAGTATGCATAATACAAACATATATGTTAAAAACATACTAGCACTCAGGCTGGAGAGATTGCTCAGTGGTTAAGAGCACTGATTGCTCTTGCAGAGGACCCGGGTTTGATTCCCAGCATCCACATGACAGCTACGAATCGTCCTTAACTCCAGTTCCAGGGGAATCTGAAGCCCTCTTCTGACCTCCGCAGCACTGCACGACATGGGTGCACTCACATACATGCAGGCAATATACTCATACACATAAAATAAATATAATAAATAAAATATTTAAAAAAATGTTAGTATTCAAAAAGACCAAAAAAATAAAAACAAAAAAACCCACGCTATAATAATTTTTCCATGGATCATGGAATATGTTGTCAGCTCTTAAAATTTTTTTTGAATTTTATGTACATGACTATACTGCCTGCATATATGTAAGTGTACCTGTGTTGTGCAATGCCCAAGGAGGTCAGAAGAGGGCATCGGACCATCTGGAACTGGAGTTATAGATGATTGGTAATCATCATGTAGGTGCTGGGATTTGAACCTGGGTCCTCTGCAAGAATAGCTAGTGCTCTATTTTTTTAAGTTTCTTTTTTGAGACAGGGTCTCCCTGTAGCCCCAGTTGGCCTAGAACTCACTATGTAGACCAGGCCAGCCTTGAACTCAGAGATCTGCCTGCCTCTGCTTCCCAAGTGCTGGGATTAAAGGAGAGTGCCACCATGCCTGGCAAAAATAGCTAGTGCTGCTGAACCATCCCTCCAGCCCTGTCAGCTCTTAAAATTTTTAACAATGATTTATTTTTGTGTGTGTATGTGCACACATGTACTCACATGTGTCATAGTTGTTGGCTCTTGGTTTTCCTCTTTTCAGGTTGACAGATGTGGGAGCAAGTGCCTTTACTCAATGAGCTGATCCCTTAACCCCTTTAGCTTTGTTTTGATCTTGTTTAAATTTATTTTTATTTATATGTATGCGTGTATGCCTGCTGTCTGTATGTATACCATGTGCACAGTACCCAAGGAGGTCAGAAGAGGATACTGGATCCCCTGGAACTGCAGTTACAGTCAGTTTTTTTTTTTTTCTTTTTTTTCTTTTTCTTGTCTTTTTGAGACAGGGTCTCCCTGTAGCCCCAGCTAGCCTGGAACTCACTATGTAGACTAGGATGGCCTCTGCCTCCTGAGTGCTAGGATTAAAGGCATGTGCCACCATGCCTGGTCTATAGTCAGGTTTGAGTCACTATGTGGGTGCTGGGACCTGAACCCAGGTCACCTGCAAGAGCATCAAGTGCTCTTAATTGCTGAAACATCTCTAGTCAAGGTCTCACCAAGCAGTCCTCACACCAATCATCTGGCCTTGCCTCCCATGTTCTGGAATTTCAGGCAATACCACCATATTCAGCAAGGGACCACCATTTTGAATAGCTACATGATTTGAGGCATGGTCTGATGTAGCCCAGGTGGGCCAGGAGCTGGTTGAGGCTGAGGATAACTGTAAACTCTTGATCCTCCCACTTCTATCTCTAAAGTGGCTAGAATTACAGGCCTGTATGCTTTCACAACCCTGGTTTAGAAGGTGTTAGGATCAAACCCATGGCCTCTGATATGCTAGGCCAGCACTTTACCCTCTGAGCTACATTCCCAGGTTAAAGAGACAGATCCGTTATAGTCTATCCTCCTATTGCTGGTCACCATCATCTACTGGTGACTAAATGAAGTGATGGATATCTTTCTACAGGAGATTTTTTTTCTTTCCATTTAGGATATTTTCCTTAATACAGACTCCTCAGTAGCCCAGTATGGTGGCACATGCCTTTAATCCCAGCACTCAGGAGGCAGAGACAAGCACATCTCTGTGAGTTTGAGGCCACCCTAGTCCACATAGCAAGTACCAGGCCAGGCCAGGCCAGCCAGGGTCACACAGTAAGACAGTCTCAAATTAAAACACACACACACACACACACACACACACACACACACACACACACACACACACTTATTTGGAGTGGTAAAGAACACTGACTGTTCTTGCAGAGGACCTGGGTTCAGTTCCCAGCACCCACATGATAAATAACACCTGTCCTTAACTCCAGTTCCAGAGGATCTGATACCCTCTTCTGGCCTCTATGGGCATTGCATACATGTGGTGCAGTTACATACATGCAGGCAGAACAATCACACACAAAAAT